CGACGGGTCTTCAGCTTCTCGAAAGTACGGCAGTGACGTTGGACGGCGGAGACGGAAGTGAGGTCTTCCCTGCCTATCAAGAAATTGTAGACGTCCTCTGCTATACCTTTCAGAAGGTGTCCGACCATATCCTCTTCAGACATATGCGGGTCTATGATCTCGCAGAGCATCAGAACCTCCTCTATGTAGGTGGTACACATTTCCCCAGGTGTCTGGGCTCTTTGAGCCAAAGTGCGCTCCGCGCTTTTCTTTTTCGCATCAGAGTCGCCGAAGCATTTTTTGAGCTTTTTCGGCGAAACGATCCCACGTTGTTAATGAATCTTCGTGGTTTTCGTACCACATCAAGGCGGTTTTCGTGAGAAACAGCGCGACAGTCCCCAGTTGTTCGGTGGGATCCCAGCCGTTGTACCGGCTCACCCTTTTGTAGTGTGTCAGCCACGCATCCACATCTTCCCCTGCTCTTCTCGCGAACGGGCGGCGTTCCATATAGCGATACCGAGGTGCAGCCGGCACTGACCTTTGCTTGGTTGAGGAGCCGTGACCTTCGATCTCGGCCATGACTGTTGTTCTTGGTGGCAGACCGGCAAGACGACGGCTCCGGCGAAGTTCAGATCGCTGTGACTCTGTGGTTCGTCGACGTGCTTTACCTTGCACCTCCACCACTCTGTTACGTTTATAAACGGGTTTATTATGCTGTGGCCTACTGGGAGGCTTGAAAGGGTCATGCCCCGGAGGCCTATCTCGCTAGCCGAACGTCCTCTTCTCTAATCTGCTTGTTCCCCGCTACCCAGAGGCTCATACCCAAATCACATATGCAGTAACAGTATGTTAGTATAAAGTACAGAGAATGACAGGTTTGCTCTTGCGTTTGTATGGGGCTGATGGCGTGCTTGCTGACAGTGACAATGTGGGAAAGGCTATAGAAACAGTGACAAACTAGCATGATCTCAAAGTTTTCAGGCTTAGATTGTACTTGCTCTCAGTCAGTATTTGCTTTCATGTGAAAAAGAATGCTCGATGTCCACTGAAGTTAGTGAAGGCATACTTGTGGCCTAGCACTTTCAATGCTTTAATTGCATCCAGAATAGTTGAATCAGCACCACTTGAAACTTTAGGAACTTGTTTTAGCACATACAATCCAGGATTCTTTCCAAGGCACATTTAAGCTTTGAGGCAACCCTTTCAGGGACGGGTCTATTGGAAACGGGGCGAACCTTTCATGCAAATCCGAAAAAATCCGAGTACCCTTAAGCTTTGCTTTTAAGTGTTGAATGCGATAGCGATATCCCGCTTCTGGTGCGCACTTCAACCACTTGGTGCATACTTTTTACTGCATGATGTCACTCAAGGGGGTAAATTTTGGATTACTAACAGTGTAAGCGATAAAGTTGAAAGTGGCTTGTCTCAGTGAAGCTTTTGCATATGACTGCATTCTGTGTAATGAGCGCATGAGAGTTCACATATGCGAATATAAAGATAACAAAAAAAATGGCAGCATATCCACGGAGTGAATGATGGATAGTGGGGCGAAGCATTTGTCTGTCCATTCGTTCTTGCTTCCGTCCATCCGTGCGTCCACACGTTCATCTGTGCGTCCGTCCATGCGTACGTGCGTCTGTCCATGCATCTGTCTGTGTGTCCGTTCGTCCACCTATTCAACACTCCAAGTACCACCATCTCGCATCTTTTCATCATATATTCTTCATACTGACCGCCATACAGCAGACATTCCAAGGACTGAACGAGAGGAGGCACACGCACACTTTCTTATGACTTGCGCTTCATGTCTACTTTCCACCTTTAACCACCTTGAGTTCATGGTATATACTATTCACTGTATTCATGGCACTGCGGCCCAACGCTCGCTAAACCTTTCTAAAACCTAAGAGGTTACGCCCAGCGAGTATAACGTAGCAACTCTTTCTTGTCTTCTGTGCGTTGTTGAACAATAAAAAATTCGCAGCGTGCTGCGTTAACTAAAAGTTGAATTTTCCTGTCTCTAATTTTCCCTTAGCAGCAATTGGCATGTACATTGAGCACCATCTTTTATTGTTCAACAACGCACTGAAAAAATCTCTCACTGGCACCACCTTGGAGGTCAAAATGTTATACTTGTTACACACTACTACAACGGTTACGAGGGACGAACCCGTGCCGTTATAAGGAGCTTCCTTCCTAAAATGAATCAGCGTACCCGTGGAATGACCGCAATATACATGTTGGTTCCGTAAGCAATGTTGAAAGCTTTATGCCTATGAGTGCTCTGAGTGGACATCAAACTCAATATTGTTGACCTTTCCAATGTCTTCTTCCCTGCTTTCCACATGGACAGTTTCTCGATCAACGAAGTAGCGTTGTGATCCACAGGTCCATTGCCTGACAAGGACACTTTACGGCTTCTTTTTGTTCCACATTGCTTGGCAGACTTTCGACAGCTGCCGTTATGAACAACATAAATGCCAATGAAAATTGCGTGTAGGCAGCAGCGCTAGCCTAGCTTAGTCTCGGCTGATTAGAGTATGTTCTAGCTACAGTGTACTCTGGCATCCCAAATGCAACCTCTGAGCTGCACTACTCTCGAACCTAGCGATGGGATCTTCAAGGGGAAGAGGTTGCACCTCCGTTAGCCTCTCCTCACTTCGATACTCTACACTCTGGCCACACTGACGCAACCACCATGCTGCACTACTCTCGAACCAAGCGACAGAAATCTTTTAAGGAGACCCGCTAGCGCTATAAATGCTAGCCTCACTTTGCCTCGCTGGGGTCTAAGCCCCACTCACGTAAAAGCACGTTTATAGTGCAACATTATCGGAGCATTGGCAAACATCACATGCGTCAGAGCGCATCGGCCAAGTCTAGTTATACATTGGCTTTGGCAGTGCGTCGACTTATGATCTGTTTTGGGCGACGTGACACAGCATATGCGCGCGTCAAAAACGTGTCGTTATTACGGCCACACCAAGTGCTTCTTGTTTTCTCCCATATGAACAGCTCATCTAAAAAAAACATTTACTCGACGAATGCGAAATGGCATTTTCAGGCGCTGAAAAGCCGATATAGGCACGAAGGGCCACTCAGCAGGCCCCGTACCGAATTTTAGTTAGTAGACAGTGGAAGTTGTTGGGTGTCCGATGAGGAACATTTTTCCATAAATTTTTTCGAATTGGTTCATCACGAGCCGAGAAAACAAGTTTGTTTAAAGCGGCGCGAAAGGAAGCGAGCTCGAAACCCTTGCCGCTTCTCCGCATAGCCTTCGCAAGCCAAATCTTTTCCCCACCCTCTCCAGCATCCCACCATGAGATGACGTACGCATGACGTGCCCAAACAAGTCCAACCCCCAAGCACGCAAGCAGCGTTGCTTTGTTGACCAGCGTTATTTTGTGGTCTTCTGCCTGTTTCTGCAGGATGGTTCGGAAACGCTGGCTTAGTCGCGGTAGAGCACAATGAGTGCACAAACGCGTAGGAGCGTTCCACGGTGGTCGTCTGCTCAATGCGTTGACCGCGGGGACACGAACGCATGCGAAACGCTGGCACATAAGACCCACATCTCGTAGCATTTCACAGGAAAAAATGAAAGAAAAAGGCACACAATTTTTCATTGCGTCTCATTATTTATATCAAGTTTTATTAAACTCTTAAAGCAACAAATACATGAACTACGCATGTGTAAAATAATTTTTGCCATGTCAGGTGGTATACTGTTGACAACGTCAGAGCAGACTCGTCTACGTAGAGGACAAACGTCACTGCATTGCCGTGTACGTAGGGCCATTCATAAGCCCACATCATGCCCTCATTCTCTATGCGTGCGCCAAGAGGAGAGGGGGAACAGGTTTGATCTTGAAATTTGACCCATTTCCACGATGCGTAGCTTTGCAAATTTTTTGCAGACGTGATCATTAACACCTCGTCAACGCATTGCGTTTGTCAGCTCAAAATCGTCAAACCTAGTGAGTGTCCCTTTAAAATAGGCACTTATAGGCACATTAAAATGTTTCCCATCCCTTAGTTCTTGTTTGTATGTTGAATAGGCTCGAAACGGACTCCAGGAAAGAATAGGCATTTTGCCTGAAGTTCCGATCTTTAGCGACGAATGCAGATTTCTAGGTTTTACTTTTCCCCAACACTAGGATCCATGCATCTCCACCTCTGCGGACGTAATCGAGATTCCGATACTTGGTCATCATTCCGAGATAGTTTGAATTAGGTAGTCTGAGAATTGTTGGTGCACTAGAAAGGAAAATTTGGGTGGTCAGTATTTTCGAGACTTGATGATGCAGACAGAAGCACATCCTCCATCAGCCGTGGCTGAGCTGCCCTGTGCTTTCTACACATGAGCACAAGCCATGGAATCTCACAAGTGTAATGCAGGGTAACGAATTGACATGTCTAATATTGTGTGGCAAAAGCAGAAACTCTCGCTACAAACCACATCGTATGAATTGTGCAACTAGTGGCTGGTTTACAGGACCACTCACTACGAAGCAGCCCGCTATAATTAACCATCATTAGCACAGCTGCATAATATTCACATAGCAGTTCCACAGGACGTAAAATGGGCAGTGGCAATTCATAAAATTAATAAAAGTTGAGGCAGCCATTTAACACCAAGAAGCGAAACTTGGCTGGCAAATGAGAAGGCGAGTGAACGAGCCCTGTTACGCTATCGTGTTTTGTAGGTGAAGCTCAAGTGTCGCCCAAGTTTTTGGACAAAGGATATTGTGAAGAGGCATACACTCGCTCTTGTGAACTATATATAATTCCCAGTCCATGGGAAGATATACTGTAGATAGAGACTTATTTCACATCCGGCAAGTTTGTGGACCCCCTTAGGAGTCTGTTAGAAGGTCATGCCTCCTAGTGGCTTCTCTGGCTTGCTGGATTGCTCGGAGCCGAGTTAAGCAACTCAGTCCGCCAACGTGTGCAGAGGCTGTCTGCAAGAACATTGACCCATGTGCGACTACAGTATGCAAAGAGTTAAAAGCCATGAACACCAATTAAAACAAAAAAATACTTTTATTGTACATAGAGTCATACCAGGTTGCAACTAAACACCAGGCTGCAGCTCCTGGTTATTGAATCGCCGTCATGGTTAAAAATGATGAAAAATACTGTTGAGAAAATATGTACAAGGGTTTTTTACAAGGCAGGGTCTGTATATTATCAGGTAGATACAGAAAGCTGGCCTATTTGAAATTCTAAAAGCAAAAGCCTGCATAAAGAACTGTTCACACACACATTTCCATGAGACAGTTCATTCGAAAACCAAAGCACTGATCTTTCACAGTATCAGCACAGGTTTAATTAGAAAAGTTGCAATGATAAACAAGAAGGCCTATATTAAAACTCAGATGGCATGGCAAAGACTCGTCAACCGATAGCTTTAGCTGTCCCAAAACAGACATAGAGCAGTTACGATTTCATAGCTGACACTGTTGATATAATTTTACTAGCAAAATAACTCTGGTAATCACTTTTTGCATTTTACAGTGCGAGTTTGCCATGGCAATCAGCCACTTTGCAAACAGTGGCTTCAGTTTTGTAGAAATATTTTTTAACATGCCTATTGCAACAGCTTTTTCATAAAAGGCCTGCTAGATAAGAAACATTATTTCATCGAACGGCTTCAGGACAAAGATCCTTGTTCAGTTGTAAAATATGTTTAAGAATTAACTTGCCATAGCCTTCCAAGTGAAATAAATCACACAAAAAAGCATTTGTGCCTTCATACATATGCACATATGTTTACACTGTGAGACTTCAGCATTACTTTCCATCAGGGGACAATGCATAGATGTGATCATAATTCGTAAACAGGTGGTGGATGCTGGAGCCGAAGTTTCGGTTAGAGGACTTGGTGTTTTTCAAGGTTGCAACAGATTTCCTCAGCAATTGTGTGTGCATGCTTGGCACTCTCTCGTCCATTCCAAACAAAGGAGAGGGCAACTACAAAAGTGGGGGGCTGAAGTATAAAGTTCGACTGCAGTATGTAAAGTCTGAGGTCATCGAAGTTAGGTCTAGTTCCCACCCAAGAGGCGGAAAATATATATTCATACCTTATTGACATGTTTAATACACTCCAGCCAGCAGGTATAAATGTTTCAAAAGGGGGCTGTCGAGTCCATGCAATATGCTGCATACACACAGAAACCATAATTCAGTGACAAGTGCACCCCCCCCCTCCCCCATTTTTTTTTTTTTCCACAGGTTACCTTCTTCCTTAGCCTCACCCAATTTAACACTGTGGCCTCTCCTTGCCCCCCACTTTTGTAGTTGCCCTCTCCTTTGTTTGAACTGGAGGAGATAGTGCCAAGCATGCACACACAAATGCTGAGGAAATCTGTTGCAACCTTGAAAAAGACCAACTCCATTACTCGAAACATCAGCTCCGGCATCCACCACTTGTTTACGAATTTCTCAACACAAGCTTCTCTCTTCCTGTTCTTCTTGCCTTTAGTAGGCACAAATGTCGTACACAAACAATACACAAGTTTAAAAGCAATCAAAACTGCACAGGTATATTTTATGTTAAAATGAGACTGGCTTCAGCAATAAAGGTCAATGCTGCAGAATCGTGTAACAAGCACAGAAAATGCTGCATGTACACCCTACAAACCCACAGCTGTTCATGAGGAAGGCGCATTGTCAGTGAGAGTGACGTCCAGTTGGACGACTTTTCTGGCAGTTCCCGGTGGCAGCGACCCCGGCGCCTCGCAGAGGACGCTGCTCGTCAGCTGCTTCTCATTCTGCTGCGCCAGGAATTGCTGCAAACACAAAACAGACAAAAGTTTACGAACCACACTGACTTGGCCACACTGAAGCCATTCCATGTTTATATATACGAATATAGGCGCAGTTCTCATTTATGTGGAGACAAAATGAAGCATATGTTATCAAACTGTCACCGCAGGATGGAATTTCAGCCTGTACAGCTATGTGCTAATAAAAATACAGCTCTTATGTATTAGATGCGAAGCAGCTCTTTGGCAAGCCAGAGTAACGCTGTCCCTCCGCACAACATGCCGCGCGCTGCAGGTGTTAGCGCGGTGCCAAGTAGGTCACACTGCTGCTTCGAGTTGACGTCACTACTCTCCTTCGCCTGCCGCGTGTTCGCTACAGCTCCTGCAGCTGTCGCCTTGTCCGTTCACGCCGTTTCATGTGGTCGCTGCCCAGCCGCAACACCAACTGCACCCAGGCCCGGGGCAAATGAGCGAAGCTCTTTCACCCTCCGCTTGGGCGCGGCGGAAAAATGCTGGCATGTGCGTTGCAGCTGGGCGGCTAGTGCATGGAACGGCCCTTCGCCCGCAACACCGCAGTGATCGCCGCTCGCTACACCACCAACTCGGCGGTTCCTGCGCAATAAACCTGACGTGTGTCTGACATACGTGTTGAAACATGCCTGTACATATCGCCTACAAGACCTACACCAGCCACCGCTTCAAACGAATCTTCCAGCGTTCACCGAAGCACCCGCGTTAGCCCCGTTCAACCCGTGACGCCACCTGTGCGCAACGGATCCCATAAGGGTTCCCTTCGGGGAAATGGTCTAAGTGTTGCTGCCAAGAAGAGGCTCGTAGGTTTTCATTTTTGCAAAGCACAGTTATAAAGCCACAGTGTGCAAACAAAATGCTGTCCTATGTGCCACTTAGCCTTAGAATTAAGATGTGCAGCTAGCTCCTGCTATTTTTCTATGTATACAGATATAATTTTAATGCAATAGGTATGTTCCTTATCATGTATGCCAAATTATAGGCTTGACAGATGTGCAAAATGCTTACAAACGAGTGTTTATTCACTACCTTGAATCGCTCACTATTTGCCACTATTTCGGACCACACTGTACGATGTCAGCCTCGATAGCAGTAAACATTGGAGGTGGTGGTTTGGGGATGCGGGGTACTAACCAGTGCAGTGTCAAGAAGACAACACTGGCTGTTTGGCCAATGCATCGATAATGTAAAATATCTTTAAAGCCGGCATATTTGAAATTACTTTGCCTCCAAGAAACACCAGGCCTGCACAGAAAGCGCAACACAGTCACAGCAAAGGCTGTGACTATGCTGCACGAATGCGATAGAAAGCTGCATGAATAAGACTGAACTAACAACAGTGTGAAAACAGACTTAAATTGGAAGAACTATGCCCAGACTACGATGCCTACTGGGGCAATGGCTCTAGATTCCTTCTGGTGTTAGAGAAGACTCGAATCGAAAACCCTCTTTGAATATATGGCAATAATGGTTTCGTTTATTGTCATGTGCTAATTTTAAATATGCAATTGTATTTAAATCTATATTTAGTACAAAGAAAAGAGCCCAAAAATTCACATTTTTAAAGAGGAGCAAGCTTCTTTCCTAAACGTAGGGACCACACTCCTCGTATGGTTATGTCGCATGGCTCTTTGTATGAAGAATGAAGCACACAATTTAGAGATGGGCAAATATTCGTGTCTCTTGAATTACTCGAACAAATACTAGAGTGTTCAAATTTGCTTTGACACAAATTAAAATTACTTAAATATTGAAGTATTTGACATGATCTAATACTTTTTTTGATAGTATGCAACTCCTGGGAAAACTGTTTCAGATGAATGCAAGGACGTAGGGCTGCTATATCGTGAAACCACTTGAAGGGACTGTCTGCCGCTCTGATGAAAGTTTATTTTGGTGGAAATAAGATTCTTCGTCGCATTGGCAGCAACGAGCATGCTTTTGTCCAATAAGAAAAGAACTTTTAATTTGGCTCTGAAAGCTGTGAAAGTATGATTGCTATTGTCACCTGACGGCAATGTGGTTAAGCTATTAACAGGACCAGAAACCCCAGCAAATAGGCTTATTTTGCGTGAGAATGAGGCTTGTGCAAATATTCGAATGCTTTGAATATTTGAACGATAGGTGTAAGCACTGTTGTGCCACAGACATGTTCCTCGTTCGGGAGCACGTCTCACAAGATCGAGCCCTGTTTCGACGAACTGTCTCCCCCCCCCCCTCCTCCCAGCGCCGCCTTCTGTGCAGGAGAACCGTGCAGTTCCGGGGATAACGTCGCTTCGTCCGCCGAACCACTTTGCAGTTCCGGGTATGGCTACGTCTCCCCCTCCGAGCCCGAGAACTGGTCTGAGAGAATGGACCAAAGACGCTATTTAAGGCCGAGCCGGCCCCATGTTAGGAGATTTTGCCCCAGCCGACGTTGTCGTGCTGGCCGGCTCTGTACAAACGACAACGTGCTACAGTAAACGCTCCTTTTGTTGCTGTTTTCCAAACGGATTGCCTCCCTGTTTCACCTTCGGGCTAAGGCTTCATCGAAGTCCGCTCGACGGCTCGCCGCTCTTCGCCACCGCTACCATCGCGACAGAGCACATTCATAACAGCACATAACTACCTGCAAAAGTGGTTTCACTGCAGCGCAGAACTGCTAAGCCGCGAAAGTACCTGTCCAGGAGACATTCGTTCTGCCGCGAAGCCCCCTTCGAATTTAAAGGGGCCCTGCAACACCTTTTCAGCATAGTCAGAAAACGCTGCGAATCTGTAGCCGAGGCTATCAAGAACATGCGATCCAAATATTATAGCACAGTAGCGGCCTGCAATTCGCAATAAATTCTCAAAGTCAGCTAAAAATTGCCCTCTTCTCTCGGCAAATGACGCCACTCGCTCAAAAACAGCTTGTCACAGCCATTGTATCAGCCTTGGGCTGATTTAAGTATGGCACACCCGGTCCTTATTGGGGCCGCCATGGGAGGCCTCCACTTGTCCACGCGTACGTGCGCAGTTGGACTGAGAAGCCGCATATTCGAAGAAAAAAAGAGAAAAGGTGCTACAGGTCATAGTACGCATGAGGTATTTTCTTTCCCCGTGCCATCCCTCCCTACTTAGCTCGCAGCGCTTTCGTCGGGTTGAGAAGAGAGAATGCAACTGCAGTGTGCAACAAGTCTTTCCAATTATACTTGTATTGGACTGATTCTAAAAATTTTTGCCACGGTGAATTCGTGAGCCAATAAGCTTCTTCAGCGAATTTATTCCGTGGCTAATAGGGTCTCTTCGAATGAACATAATACTCTCAAATGAACTCATTATTAAGCTTAAAAACTTGTTATGACAACTTATATGCTCTTAGCATAATATATTTTAAATTGTTACATATTTTACAGGTAATCAATCGCATCTTACTAAAAGTCAAAACTTGCTACTATTTGTAGTTGTTCCAACTTTCTTTGAACGAAAAGAAAAAAAAAATGCATTTGCATAGAGGCTCTATTTCAACTTCAAAAAATATTGTGCAGGTTAGGCAAGGATAAATATACCCATTTTTATTGATGTCATATATACTATTTGAATTTGATACGAAATTATTCGACCAAGAGCACATGTGCTTTGAACCTAAAATTCACTATTAATACAAGCCTAATGAAAACAAATATGTACAGCTGAAAATTGCATATTCTGCACTTTTCGTACCCTTGCGTAGCATCAAAAAGCCCCCCCTTTTTTTTTCACGCGCAGTGAGAAGTGCTGCGGAAAAATGCAAGCATGGTGGCCAGCACTACTATGTCTACAACTACTAAACACAACTGAAAAACAACAAATGCCTGCTTTATGAAGCATGTTTACATTAATTAAAGTCGCATGTTTGGCATGAGTGGAATTACAAGGGTTAGTGCCACAATGCTGGTGTAGCAGTGTTGCTGGAGCACACCAAGTTTTCCCGCTTGACCGCGGTGCTAAACAAAGCTTGAAAGAACACTGTAATAGTACTTTATTTTAGGCAGTTTATGAGCTCTATGCTACCATTATGGGAATTTTTTTTATTGTTAAGCAAAACCTAATTCAGCCTGTAAAAACTGTAGCGGTGGAAGTGGGTTTTAGTCTTTTGGAACAGCTCAGGAAGCAGGAATAATGCTGCTTTGGGAGCAACACAAGTTAGTTTTAGAACATAATGCAGGGTTCAGACATCATTGTTGATTCAATTTTTTTTTCTTCTGAGAAGCAGCTGCACTGGTTTTTAATATAGTTGACTCCTATTAAACAAAACTCTTTTAAATGAAATTGCCGCATAAATGGAAGAACTGCCCCTAATATGTTTGATTTCGTATTTGAATATTATACCCCTGTTTATCTCCCAATAAACGAAACTTCTCTTAAGGGAAACACATTTTACTGATCCCTTCAGGTTTCGTTTAAAAGGAGTCTACTGCAATTATCAATGCTGATGAAGCAACCACACTCACCAAAAATGTATGTGTGTGTGTGTTTATATAGTCGAACCCAGTTGTAATGATACCGGTTTCAAGAATATGCTGCTTTTAACAATGACAAGCTACTCCACAACCCACTTTTGTATGTTTTCTATGGTGAAATAACATGTTAAGAGCAATGCTTGCATGCCGTGTTATGGTCACAACAATTCTAGCTGTTGGGTTTCTGTGCTGAAAAATAACTTAAAAAAAAGTGACAGCTTTGCCATAGGGAACAAGCAATGAACGCGATAGCAATGAACGCGATAGCAGCAACTTGGAAGGTCACCCGCAGAATTGGTTGGTTGGTTTGTGGGGTTTTACGTCCCAAAACCACCATATGATTATGAGAGATGCCGTAGTGGAGGGCTCCGGAAATTTAGACCACCTGGGGTTCTTTAACGTGCACCCAAATCTGAGTACACGGGCCTACAACATTTCCGCCTCCATCGGAAATGCAGCCGCCACAGCCGGGATTCGATCCCGCGACCTGCGGGTCAGCAGCCGAGTACCTTAACTACTAGACCACCTTGGCGG